CCCCTCCCCTTCCGATGCCTCCTCATCTCTCCAACCGCCCCCCCTCGCCCAGCCCTCAGGCTCCGCCCCCGGACACGCCCCTCCCCCCGACTCACCGCTCGGCCCGGGGTCCCAATGCCGGGTAGGCCTGGTTCGCCCTTCTCCCCCGGAGCACCGGGCACCGACACCACAACCGGTTCCCCTTCCAGGGCCTCTGGAGGAGCAAGGCACTGGCCACAGGACTCTCCCTGGGAGGGCCAGGTGCCAGGGTCAGAGCCGGGCAGGGGCTGGGCTCAGCAGCACCTCCCCGAGCAAAGACCCCCAGGCACCCAGGCAAAGCTTCCTCTGGGCTTTTCCGCCCTGTAGGTCCTCACCCAGCCTGGGGGAGAGGGACAGAGCGCGGTGCCCAGCACCCTTCCGCTCAGAGGGGGGCTCCGCTTCGGGCCCAGCTCAGCAGGGAGCAGAGGTGGTTACCCTGGGACGGCTCATCGGTGACACGAGTTTAGCAGGTCTCAGGCTGGTTCCTAGTGAGACAGGTGCAAGAGCGCCTCGCCCAGCCCCCCAGCCATGGGGTTGTGGGTGTCTGGCCCAGCCCCTGTCCCCGCGGGCCCTGCTTTGTGGCTGGAGGAGCCCAGACGGGACCGTGTTGGCGTGTTCCCAAGGCACCAGCGGGCTCGGAGCACTATGAGAGGGACTCATCCGAGCGCCAGCGCAGTCACCCAGCCTGACGGCTAGAGATGCCCCCTGCCCGCCTGACACAGGATGGGGCTGCCCACGCCCCAGCAGCAGGCACCTGGCCACCCAACCAGAGCTGTGCATGCACATCGGTGATCACGGGTCACACGCACCGTGCATCGGTGGAGATGGGGGCAGGGCTTAGGGTCTGCACCCACTTTTGCTTTGCCGGTGGAACAGAGAGCTTCGTGTTCTAGCCCAGGCGCCTGTCTCACACACCAGCTGGGGGGCTTTCCAGCCACGTCCGGTGGCTACTGGGCATGGCGGAGCCGGGGGGCACTCGGATAAGGAAGGGGAAGCTCCCCCTCACACCCACACAGCTGCCAGTAGCAAACTGCCATACGCGGCCCAAGGGGGGCACAGCTGGAGGGGCGCGCTGGGAGGGGGGGAGAGCGTCCCCAGCCAACCCCACCCCTTTTCTCTAACAAGGGTCTCCAGGATCTCACCTTCTCTCCTTTCAATCCTGCCAGGCCAGGGTCCCCTCTGCCGCCCGGAGTTCCCTGCACAGAGACGCGGCAGCGGAGATGAGCCAGGGGCCTGGAAAGCTCTGTTCATGCGCGCACTCCCCGACACGCACACAATGGGCACTTGCAAACCCACGCAGGTACACAATCCTATGAACATACCGCACCACAGGCCCCTGCACGCACACCCGTCCCCATGCATGCACACACACGGCGGGCTCTTGCACACCCTCGCGTGTACACACATGCGTACCGGTGACGCGCATGCGAACGGCCCCCCGCAATCCCATGTTCTCTGTGCATGCGCCCGGGACCTCCCCGGGGGCCGATCCGTGTCGGTGACCCTAGCCCTGCGCGGAGCCGCTGCATTCGCACCACGGTACGGACACCGCGCGCCCGTGTCTCTGCTGCTGCCGCCAGCAGGGCGATGACCAGTGCCCCACCGGGGGTCTCCCCACCTAGCCCAAGGGCACCCAGCTGCTGTACTCACAGGTTTGCCAGCCGGTCCCATCTTTCCGACGTCTCCCTGGGGAGCAAAGCAGGGAGCACGGGGGTCACACCCAGCGGATGGGGGGGGGGGTCAGGCAGCGCCGGCACGGACCCAGCTCGGCAAACGAGCACAGGGCCAAGAGGTTCCCAAGTGCCGTGAGTTTCCGGCCGGTGCACGCTCAGCCCAGCTCAGGGCAGGATCAGAAAGCAGCAGCTTTCCAAAGTGAGGTGGGGAGGCCCAGCCGGCAGAGTCCCCATCACAGAGCTATGGGGAAGGACCAGGCAGGGTTTGCTGTAGCCCTGCACGCTCCGGAACCCTCCCCTCCACTGCCGGATGAGGAGACTCACCTGCTCCCCCTTGGCTCCGGCCAGCCCGGGGCTCCCGGCTTTCCCCTGCAAGAGAAACTCGAGTTACCCCAGCAGGAGCCCAGCTCAGCCCTCTGCAAACCTGGGGAGAAGCTGAGGGAGGGAGGGAGGGGCTCACGGGGCACCATCCAGGCCCAGGCAGCGGGCGGGAGGGGGAAAAAGGGGAATCAGGTGCCAGGTTTCTGAATGGGGAGGGGAGAACATGGAAAGAGAAACTCCATCCCTGGGGGGGGGGGGAGGCAGACATGGGGGTAGCGGCTCTGGGTGCCTGGTCCTGGGGTTGGATTTAGGCTCATCTCGGCAAAAGCTTTTCCCCGGCTCAGACCCCCTATCGGCGCGGCCTGCCCTGGGGAACCCGCCTTCCTTCCGCTCTGGCGGCTGCTCCAAGTTTCCTACAGCTGCCTGCCAGGGGCCCCGCCCCTTTGGCTCCAGCAGTCAGAGGCCCAAGATGAGCAGAGATGGTGGGCAGGTTCGGACCCCACTGGGAGCCTGGCTGGGGGCTGGCTGCACAGGGACCCCCAGGGGCTCAGATCAGGAGGGCTCGTGCAGGTGGGGAGAACTGGGGACGTTTTTGGCCTAGTTCCTGGTGTGCCTGGGGAGGAAGGGAGCTCTGGGTGGAGAGGAGCCTTCGAATGACCTTTGCAGCGCCAGACCCGTGGCTGCGTGAATGTTGGGGCGCCGGGCCCGTTCCCTCCCTCCCGGCGGGTGGGCCTGGCAGCGTTTCCCATCTGGTTCCACCCCCCTTCTCCCATCACCCAGGGGCTGGCAGCCTTGGCCTCTCACAGGGTGGGGAGCCAGACCCCCTTCTGAGCCTGTCTCAGGCTGTCCCCCATGCAGCGTCTCTGCCCCTCCTTGGAGGCAACCCAGCCTGCGTCCTCAGAAAACCGCATCCCAGCGCAGCTTCTAGGCTGTCCCTCCTCGCACTCCAGGCCCCAGAGCAGGGTGCATACTCACCGGCAGCCCAGGGAGCCCGATCCCCGGGGAACCCGGCTCCCCCTTGGGCCCCTCCATCCCTGGGAGCTTGTCGGAGCTCTGCAGCATGGAGGCGAGTACGGCAGGGGGGGACGGCCCCCCGGGGGGGACCCGATCCCCGGGGAACCCGGCTCCCCCTTGGGCCCCTCCATCCCTGGGAGCTTGTCGGAGCTCTGCAGCATGGAGGCGAGTACGGCAGGACTGCACGACACGCAGGGGGCACCCTAGGGAAGGAACCAACCGGCGCAGGGTCAGACCGGCTCCCAATGCCTATGTGAACCAGACCAGGGTAGCAGCTGCTGGCCAGACAGGGGCCTGCGATCAGAGAGAAGGGAGCCAGGGATTAGAAGAATGGGCAGGGGATTTGGGGGGTCCCCGCACTCACCTTCTCTCCTTTTATTCCATTGATGCCAGGGTCACCCTAAAAGAAACAGACACATGGGGAGTCAGGCAGGATGCAAAGCCTCGCGCTTGCTGCCCTCAAAGCATTTTTCAGCCAGCATCCTCCGTGGGACACTGCAGAAAAGGAAGTTGCTGCTGGAATGCATGAAAGCAAACTGAAGGGTTTGTGTGTGCACACCTTGCTGCCCTCTATGAGATGGAATGCAAAATATTCAGGGGTGTGTATGTGTCATATGCCCTATAGTGCAAACAGCTATGGGTGATTCTCCTGTAGCTCACATGGTAGGGAAGCAGGAGGAACTGCCTTAGCCAATGAGAGCAGGGCAGCAGCTGCTGACTTGGTTGCTGTCCTGCAGCTGGTGGGGGAGCCTGGGTCACAGCGCTCTAGCCTCCTCCCGGATCAGCATGGCTGAAAGTTAGGACTGGTGATGCCTCGGACTAACTGCAGGCTTTCCCAGACTAGGGAAATTTGCCGACAGTGGCCTGGTTGTGCTGGTGCGGATATGCTGGCAAGAAGGGGGCTGGTGCCAGAATGGCTTTCTTGGTAAATCGCCGTACTGCTGCTATGGGAGGGGATAGAGGGGTGCACGGGTGTAGTCACATCACTGCCAAAATCCTCTAGCATTGATGGCACCTGAGACCTCCCCTTCACTGTGCTGTGGGCGGAGAAAGGGCCTTCTCGATCCACTCCCCCCCGCCCACTGCCCTGTTGGGGGGAGCCCTGCTGAGCCCCTGCTCCTCCTGCCGATCCTTCTGAGAAGAGAAGGGACAAGAAGCGCAGGGCCAGCTCTGGGGTTGGGAAGGAATTCTCCCCTGGGCCAGACACGAGGGGGTTCCACCTTCCTCTGCAGCGTGGCTCAAACGAGTGTCCTTGCAACTCGGACTCTTTAAGTCCTGCTCTGCGGACGTCAGTAGCTCAGCTGGGGGGTCTGGGTCTGTTACAGGAGCGGGTGGGCGAGGTGCTGCCACCTGCAAAGTGTGGGGAGAGGCCCTCTGGGGATCAGGGCTCTGTTGGGCCAGAGGGGCCCCCGGCAAAGCCCTCGCTGCTTCCCACATGCAGGCAGGGAACGCGGCAACAACGCGGTGAGAACCAAGGCGTCAACTCTCTGATGCACCCACCCTGTCGCCTTTGGGTCCAGGGAGCCCTGCCTTGTCCTAGAGGAAGGAAACAAACACGTAAGGAGAAGAAACACCTCGGCCAGGGCTCCCGGCTCATCCCCCCAAGCAGCCACTGGGACGTGCGCACTTATCTCCACGCAGCGCTCCCTGCCCCCCGAACGCCCCCCCCAGACCCTCACCCCCTTGCACCCACTGGCCCCTGTGCGGGAGGGGAGCGGAGGAGACGGCCCAGGGGCCAATCGCCGGATTCCTGAGCAGAGAAGGACCCCGGGGCAGGGCAGGGACCAGGATGGACTATGGGATAGCGCACCGGGAAGGTTAAGAAGTGGATCCCAACCCCCGCAGGCTGAATCTGCCTTTGTGGCGTCGGCTCCGGGCTGGGTCCCAGATCAGCTGGGCCACTTCCCAGGGTCCTGCTGACCCGGCAAGACAGTTCCCAACCCTCCCTCCGAGCCAGGCCTGAGCACAACCTCACCTTGACCCCAGAGCCGGGCAGGGGAAGGCTGGGTGCAAGGCCCGTCCGTGGCGCTGGGTGGCAGTGCGGGGCTGCACACTGAGGGCCAGGAAATGGGTGTGGATGTGGGGGGCCACAGACGGACGGGGGGGAGGGGGCTGTTTTGCAATAGGCTGTTTTCTAGGGAGGCAGCCAACTAGGGAGGGGTGGTGCAGGAGCAAACGCCGCCTCCTTCCCCCACCCTGCCCCTTCCCCCTCCCGCCTTTCAGCCATCTGCTCCCCGCGCCGGGAGCCAAGGGGACGCGGTTCTCGTCTCAGGGGCACGGCAGCGCATGCAGACTCACCGAGAGCTCCCCTTTCCCCGGCGCTCCGGGCTCTCCTTTGGGCCCCGGCTTCCCGGGGAGGCCGACAGCATTGGCCATCCCCGCGGGGATGGTGGGGCAAACTTCACACGGGTCCCCCTGCGGGAGAGAGGAGACGCTGAGACGTGGCCACGGCCCCAGAGCCCCCCACGCTCCTCTCGGGGTGGCCACCCCATGACCCCACAGAACAACGAGCCAGGGCCAAACCACCCGGCGCTTTGGGCCCGGACCCCAACTTTGGACCAGCACCCAGCCAGCCAATCAGGATTCTTCAATAGCCCTGGGGCAGGGGCTTATGGGACCCAGGGCAGAACAGGGTCTGAGGATGGGGCAGCTTCCGAGCACACAGGGCTGAATGGGATGGAGAACCGGGCCAGGCTCAGAGAAGCTGGCTCTGGAAATGTTGGTCCTTGGAGCTGCCTGGATCCACTTCATCTCCCGTCCTTTCCTCAGCGATGGGCCTGGAGCGGGAAGGCAGCTCGGTGGAAAGTCTCCAGCTTCTCAGCTCCCGCTAGCAGGCCGCTGTAGGGCAGCCCCCCCCGGACCCCAGAGCCCTGCCTCTCCCACGGAGCCCCACGGCGCACAGCACAGAAGCCAGCCCCCTGGCCGGGACGGAGCACAGCAGGTGCCAGGCCCCGGGGGGTCCCCACCTTGTCTCCTTTCAGGCCTGGCACACCGGGCTTGCCCTGTGCGGGGAGGGAAGATGCTGGTTACATCAGGGCAAAGCTGCCGAGCAAAACCCGTCCCAAGGCCCCGGGCTGCAGAGGGACCAGGCAGCTTAGTACAGACGGTGTGGAAAACCTCCCGCACAGCTCTGCCAGTGCCCCTCCGTCCTGCCCCACAGCCCCTGCCAGCCCAGCGGGGTCTCCCCTCCCCCGCCCCGGCAATGCCCCTCCGTCCTGCCCCACAGCCCCTGCCAGCCCAGCGGGGTCTCCCCTCCCCCGCCCCGGCAATGCCCCTCCGTCCTGCCCCACAGCCCCTGCCAGCCCAGCGGGGTCTCCCCTCCCCCGCCCCGGCAATGCCCCTCCGTCCTGCCCCACAGCCCCTGCCAGCCCAGCGGGGTCTCCCCTCCCCCGCCCCGGCAATGCCCCTCCGTCCTGCCCCACAGCCCCTGCCAGCCCAGCGGGGTCTCCCCTCCCCCGCCCCGGCAATGCCCCTCCGTCCTGCCCCACAGCCCCTGCCAGCCCAGCGGGGTCTCCCCTCCCCCGCCCCGGCAATGCCCCTCCGTCCTGCCCCACAGCCCCTGCCAGCCCAGCGGGGTCTCCCCTCCCCCGCCCCGGCAATGCCCCTCTGTCCTGCCCCACAGCCCCCTGGGCCTGGGCTCTCCCCACCCCCGCCCCATGCCCCTCAAGCCTGCCCCACAGCCCCTGCTAGCCCAGCCCTAGGCTCTCCCCACCCTGCTCCCCACCCCCTTGTTGGATCTCTGGGCTCCTCCCTCCCATGCACTTCCCTCCTACGCTGCAGGCCTGAGTCCTCTCCATGGGGCTCAGCCAAGGCCCCTCTCTCCCGCCTCACACCCCCCCTCCCCCCGCTGCGGTACCAGGCCCGCCCCGCGCTGAGCCCCTCGGCTGCAGGGACGTGTGCAGAACAGTGACCCCAGGGCCACGCATGCCAGGCTAGCCACTAACCTGGATCCCAGCACCCCGGGGGGGCCAGGGTGGGAGCCCATGGGGCGTCCCCAGCCATGTGGGGATGCCCTGAGGCCCAGTAGGGAGGGACAAGCTCTCCCCACCCCCACCCGAGGACTGGGCTCCCGGCCCTTTTGTTCTTCCCCACCCCGCCTGGGCAGGCCACCAAGCCTCCCCCAGCCCCATGTCACCCCCCTCCATCGTTCCCCCCTGAACCACCGGGCCCAGGAGATCCGGAGTTACCCTGGAAACAGAGCCCAGAGAAAGACAAACAAGCTGAGCCCAGGACGTGTCTGACACCCCAGAGCCGGGGGGGACACAGGCTCTGTCCAGGAGCCTGGCCGGCTGGAACAGGACCAGGTGGTGGGCTGTGCACCCTAGCGGGGTCCATCCCCTGGAGCCGATGCACCTTAACTCTGGGACAGATCAAATCTCGGCCAGTGCAAATCTGTCCCCCTTGATGTAAGGTAAGAACATGCAGCCACTGCGGGTGTGTCTAAACTACATGGCTCCATCGAGGGAGCCATGTAGATTAGGCTGATCGGCAAAGGGAAATGAAGCCGCAATTTAAATAATCACGGCTTCATTTAAATTTAAAGGGCTGCCGGGCTGAGCCGACAAACAGCTGATCAGCGCGCTAGTCTGGACGCTCCCGCGCCGACCTGAAAGCCCTTGGTCGACCTCCCCGTTTACCTCGTAGGATGCTACTTTCCTGATCAGCTGTTTGTCGGCTCAGTGCGGCAGCCATTTAAATTTAAATGAAGCCGTGATTATTTAAATCGCGGCTTCATTTCCCTTTGCCAAACAAACAAATCGACATGGCTCCGTCAACGTACCCTAAGCCTCTGCGGGGACATGGGCCCGGGGGAAACAGGCAGCACGACTGACGGTTTAAACCAGAGAGAGGCCCGCAGAGGCCGACTCTTCTGAGCGCTGGCTGTCTGGAGTCTGACCTTTATGCCTGGGTGATGTTATCCGACTGAAAATGACCATAGCGATCCCCGTTGCAAGCCCGGCTCTGTGTGCGCAGCACAGCTTGTGCACCATGTGCCGAGCGAGGCGTCCCGGGGCAGGCTATCGCTTGCTGGTTAGGATGATGCTATGGGCGGGCGCGGATCATTTCTGTATGTGAGGGGACCAGTGTTGGCTCTACCCCTGCTTTCCAATGCTTGCAGCTGGGAACGCCCACAGGGGGGCTGGCCCACGTGTGGGGAAGGGACAATTCAAGTGGCCTAGAACAGTGGTTCCAAAACTTTTCGGCATCACGCCCTCTTTTCGATTTTTGAAAAATCCTCATGCCCCGCCCCCCGCCCAGCAGCAGAGCTTGTTGAG